CCCCCCAAAGCCGTGCTCTGCCCCCCACAGGTCTCCTGCCCCCCCGGGGAGGGCAGCGCCAAACCCTCGGCCGAGGACATGACCTCCAAGGATTATTACTTCGACTCCTACGCACACTTCGGGATCCACGAGGTACCAAAATCCCCCAAATCCACCCCAAATCATCCCAAATTTATCCCAAATTTATTCCATCAAGTTTTGATAGAATTTTGCTGAATTTTGCTGGAATTCCATTGGATTTTTACAGAATTCCATCAAATTCATTGGAATTCCATCAAATTCATTGGAATTCCATCAAATTCCGATAAAAATCCGACAGATTTCGCTGGGAATTCCATTTTTTGGTGTCCCCAGGTGAATTTTGGGTGTCCCCAGGTGAATTTTGGGTGTCCCCAGGTGAATTTTGACCCCCCAAATTTAATTTTGGGTGTCCCCAGGTGAATTTTGGGTGTCCCCAGGTACATTTTGGGTGTCCCCAGGTACATTTTGAGCCCCCAAATTTAATTTTGGGTGTCCCCAGGTACATTTTGGGTATCCCCAGGTACATTTTGGGTGTCCTCAGGTACATTTTGGGTGTCCCCAATTCAATTTTGGGTGTCCCCAGGTACATTTTAACCCTCCAAATTTAATTTTGGGTGTCCCCAGGTACATTCTGAGCCCCCCCAGGTGAATTTTGGGTGTCCCCAGGTACATTTTGGGTGTCCCAAATTTAATTTTGGGTATCCCCAGGTACATTTTAACCCCCCAAATTCAATTTTGGGTGTCCCCAGGTACATTTTGGGTGTCCCAAATTTAATTTTGGGTATCCCCAGGTACATTTTAACCCCCCAAATTCAATTTTGGGTGTCCCCAGGTACATTTTGGGTGTCCCAAATTTAATTTTGGGTATCCCCAGGTACATTTTAACCCCCCAAATTCAATTTTGGGTGTCCCCAGGTACATTTTGGGTGTCCCAAATTTAATTTTGGGTATCCCCAGGTACATTTTAACCCCCCAAATTCAATTTTGGGTGTCCCCAGGTACATTTTGGGTGTCCCAAATTTAATTTTGGGTATCCCCAGGTACATTTTAACCCCCCAAATTCAATTTTGGGTGTCCCCAGGTACATTTTGGGTGTCCCAAATTTAATTTTGGGTATCCCCAGGTACATTTTAACCCCCCAAATTCAATTTTGGGTGTCCCCAGGTACATTTTGGGTGTCCCAAATTTAATTTTGGGTATCCCCAGGTACATTTTAACCCCCCAAATTCAATTTTGGGTGTCCCCAGGTACATTTTGGGTGTCCCAAATTTAATTTTGGGTATCCCCAGGTACATTTTAACCCCCCAAATTCAATTTTGGGTGTCCCCAGGTACATTTTGAGCCCCCAAATTCAATTTTTGCCCCCCAAATTGAATCCAGGAGATGCTGAAGGACGAGGTTCGCACTCTCACCTACCGCAACTCCATGTTCCACAACCGACACCTGTTCAAGGACAAGGTGGTGCTGGACGTGGGCAGCGGCACCGGCATCCTCTGCATGTTCGCTGCCAAGGCCGGCGCCAGGAGGGTCATCGGGGTGAGCCCCAAATCTGGGGGGGTTTGGGGGAAATTGGGGGAGTTTGGGGGATTTTGGTGGGAGTTTGGGGGAAATTTGGGGGATTTTGGGGGAAATTTGGGGGATTTTGGGGGAAATTTGGGGGATTTTGGGGGAAAATTCAGGGAGATTTGGGAGCTTTGGGGAGAAATTTGGGGAATTCGGAGAAGATTTGGGGGATTTTGGGGGAAATTTTGGGGAGTTTGGAGCAGATTTGGGGAAATTCAGAGCAGATTTGGGGGAGTTTGGAGCAGATTTTGGGAAATTCAGAGCAGATTTGGGGGAGTTTGGAGCAGATTTTGGGAAATTCAGAGCAGATTTGGGGGAGTTTTGGATGTCCTGGCAAAGCTGGAGCTTCTCTGGGGGAGATTTGGGAGGTTTTGGGGGAGTTCAGAGCAGTTTTGGGAAATTTTGGGAGAAATTTGGGGAGTCAGGAGCAGATTTTGGGGAGATTTGGGAAAAATTTGGGGGATTTTGGGGGAAAATTCAGGGAGATTTGGGAGCTCTTGGGAGAAATTTGGGGAATTCAGAGAAGATTTTGGGGATTTTGAGAGAAATTTGGGGAATTCAGAGCAGATTTTGGGGGATTTTGGGAGAAATTTGGGGAATTCAGAGCAGATTTTGGGGGATTTTGGGAGAAATTTGGGGAATTCAGAGCAGATTTTGGGGGATTTTGGGGGAAATTTGGGGAATTCAGAGAAGTTTTGTGAGGTTTTGGGGAAATTTTGGGGTGTTTGGAGCAGATTTGGGGAAATTCAGAGCAGATTTTGGGGGATTTTGGGAGAAATTTGGGGAATTCAGAGAAGATTTGGGCGGATTTTGGGGGAAATTTGGGGAATTCAGAGAAGTTTTGTGAGGTTTTGGGGAAATTTTGGGGTGTTTGGAGCAGATTTGGGGGAGTTTGGGGTGGATTTTAGGGGTTTTGGGAGTCCCAGGGTGGATTTTGGGGGTCTTTAGGTGGATTTTGGAGCTTTTTGAGTGGTTTTGGGGTGGATTTTGGGGGTTTTTGGGTGGATTTTGGGTTTTTTTTTGGGTGGATTTGGGGGTTTTTTGGGTGATTTTGAGTTTTTGGGTGGATTTTGAGGGGTTTTGGGTGGATTTGGGGTTTTTTTGGGTGATTTTGGGGGTTTTGGGGTGGATTTTGGGGCTTTTTGAGTGGTTTTTGGGTGGTTTTTTGGGGTTTTTGGGTGGATTTTGGGGGTTTTTAGGTGGATTATGGGTTTTTTGGGTGGATTTTGGGGCTTTTTGGTCGGTTTTTGGGGTTTTTGGGTGGATTTTGGGGTCCCACACTGCCCCTCCCGCAGATCGAGTGCTCGAGCATTTCCGACTACGCCGTCAAGATCGTCAAGGCCAACAAACTGGACCACGGTGAGAGCCCAAAAACACCCAAAAAACACCCCAAAAACACCCAAAAACACCCCAAAAACCCCAAAATCACCCCAAAAACCCCAAAAAACACCCCAAAAGCACCCAGAAAATCACAAAATCACCCTAAAAGAAACCCCAAACCCCCCCAGACCATCCCCAAAAATTCCCCCAAAATCCCCAAGGCTCCCACAGCCCCCCCTCAAACCCTTACAAAAAACCCCAAAAGTAAAAAAAAAAAATCCCCCAAAAAAACCTTAAAAACCCAAAAAAAATCCCCCAAAAAATTCCCCAAAATCTGGAAAAATCCCCCCAAAAAATCAAAAAAAAAAAAC